CCCCCGCCCAGCCCCCCCAGCGCCTGGAGCTCCTGCAGCGCCTGCTCCCCGGGCCCCGGGCCCGGCTCCTCCATCCTCCTCCGGCCGCTCGCGTCTCCCTCGGCGGCCCGCCCTGCCCTCTCCTTCCTGCCCTCTCCACGTGGGGCGCGGGGGAGGCGACAGCGCAGCCCGCATGACCCACCGGGGCGGTCCGCTGGCGCCCCTATGCCCGCTGGCGGGGGAGGGGGCAGGTTTTGAGAGCTGTGATTTTGCGCCCGTGACACGTTTTTAAAGCAGATTTTAAACTCAGCTCCTGTGCGGTCACGCAGTTAAATTCAGAAACTGACCGTCTGTCCCTGGGCCTGGCCTGGCTCTTTCGCAGGGTCAGCCGCTGCTAACAGATCTGGCAGGTTTTTTCACGTTGAAGTGAACTAGATCCTCGCAGGAGGAAGCAAAGCCACAGAATAGGGAAAGGAAGAGGCCCCTGGGTGGACATTAAGACCCAGCAGTGTCCCAAATTGTTGGGTGCCCCCACACAACTGCATATGGGTAAGGACAGCTCTGGACCTACCTGCTTATGAGCAAAAGATCTTCCACTAGCCTAAGGCATCTAGAATAGGCTAGGAACTATGCGGTGGGGCTGGAGGTTGCAGGCCTACCCTGACTGCAGTCTTCACACTGTAGCAAGAGCCACACTGGGAGAAAAGGAAAATCCAGAGACTAAGAACTAAGAGCTGCCCATGGGGGTCGAAGCAATGGTCGATCTAGCCCCTGGTGCTGTCTCTAGTAGTGGCCAGTACCACAGCTTCAGAGGGAGGATGCAGAGCAGATGATCACAACATCCCCGGGCGAGGAGTTCCACAGGTTAATTGTGCACTGTGTGAAAGAGACCAGAGGGAAAATTCTGCTTTGGGAAGCAGAAGCTGGCTGACAACAGAGAGAATTCTCCTCGCCCCCAAATTAAGAACGTAAGAATGGCCGTACTGGGTTAGACCAAAGGTCCATCTAGCCCAGTAGCCTGTCTGCCAACAGTGGCCAGCACCAGGTGCCCCAGAGAGGGTGGACTGAAGACAATGATCAAGCGATTTGTCGCCTGCCATCCTTCCCCAGCCTCTGACAAACAGAGGCCAGGGACACCAATTCTGTCCCCTAATAGCCTTTTATGGACCTAATCTCCATTAAATTATCTAGCTTCTCTTTAAACTCTGTTATAGTCCTAGCCTTCACAGCCTCCTCTGGCAAGGAGTTCCACAGGTTGACTACATGCTGTGTGACGAAGAACTTTCTTTCATTAGTTCTAAACCTGCTCCCCATTAATTTCATTTGGTGTCCTCTAGTTCTTCTATTATGGGAAGGAATAAATAACTTTTCTTTATCTGCCCTCTCCACACCACTCATGATTTTATAGACCTCTATCATATCCCCCCTCAGTCTCCTCTTTTCTAAACTGAAAAGTCCCAGTCACTTTAACCTCTCTTCATATGGGACCCGTTCCAAACCCCTAATCATTTTAGTTGCCCTTTTCTGAACCCTTTCCAAAGCCAAAATATCTTTTTTGAGGTGAAGAGACCACATCTGTACACAGTATTCCAGATGTGGGCATACCATAGTTTTATACAGGGGCAGCAAGATATTCGGTGTCTTATTTTCTATCCCTTTCTTAATAATTCCTAGCATCCTATTTGCCTTTTTGACCGCTGCTGCACACTGTGTGGACTAAATTCTTAGTCGCTCAGACCCTGAGAGGAGGAAGAGCGAACCAGAAATGGACAATACGACCACCTGCACACAGGACATCCGGAGCTTGTAATCTCAGTATAATGAATGGATGCAGGCGGGGTGGGGGGAACAAGAGGAAACAATAAGGCAGTCTCTGACAAGCAGTGGTCACAACACAGCAGCAGCAGCAAGTTTCGGTAGGCCTCACAGCAAAGGAGTATTCTGAGGAGGGATTTGGAGGTGGAGCGTGGCTGATACAATATGACAAGCCATAGGAGAAAGGCTGGGGAGGCCGTGATTGGACTGGAAAGCACAGAGGCACATGCCTGACAGGAGACAGATGAAGTGAATTCATTCATTCGGTTGGTAGCATCTATATCAGGGGTCTCCAACCTTTTCAAGCACGAGATCACTTTCTGAGTTGAAATGCAATCCAGGATCTACCTCAAACCCAAATACCAATGCCCCGCCTCCTTTGTGCTCCTGTGAGGCCCCCTCTCCTGCTTATTCCATCCTCCCTCCCTCCCTCACCCTTCCTCACCTTCACCAGTCTGGGGCACAGGGTTGGGGTGCAGGCTCTGGTCTTGGATTAAGGAATATGGAGCGTGAGGGGCTCTGAGCTGAGCCTGGGGCAGGCAGTTGGAGTGTCCGAGGGGGTTCTAGGTGCAGGCTGTGGTAGGGTGTTTGGATGCAGGGGTGCAGGATGGAGTTCATGACTGGAGTAGGGTTTTGGGATGTGGGCACCAGCTGGGCACTGCTTACCACAGGTGGCTCTTGGGTGGTGGCACAGTGGGGCAGGCTTATCCCTGTCCTGGCCCTGCATTACTCCCAAAAGCAGCCAGAAAACTCCCTCCCAAGTCCTGTTGTGCCCCCTCTCTGCTCTGTGGAGATAGGATACAGGGTGGGAGTGGGGTACCTTGACATCAGTGCCCCCGCTTCTTCCTCCCCTGCCCTGCTCAGAAAGCAGAGTCTCCAGAGGGGACAGCTCAAAGGCAAAGGGCAGGAGATGTGCAACAATTGGGGGAGGGGAAGGTCAGCTGAAGTGCTGGGATTGATAACCTCTTGGCCAAACCTGTCAAGGTCACCTGTCAGGGGCTCCAAAATCTACCAGTAGATCCTGATCTACTGGTTGGTGACCACTGATCTATATTCTACTCCCAGGGAATTCTGCACCACTGCATGGCTACGTCTACACTGGCATGATTTTTTCGGAAATGCTTTTAACGGAAAAGTTTTCCGTTAAAAGCATTTTCGGAAAAGTGCATCTAGATTTGCAGAAAAGCATCCTGCCAAAGCACTTTTTGCGGAAAAGCATCCATGGCCAATCTAGACGCGCTTTTCCGCAAAAAAGCCCCAATTGCCATTTTCGCGATCGGGGCTTTTTTGCGCAAAACAAATCTGAGCTGTCTACACTGGCCCTTTTGCGCAAAAGTTTTTTGGAAAAAGACTTGCCCGAATGGGAACAGCACAGTATTTCCCCAAAAGCACTGACAATCTTACATGAGATCGTCAGTGCTTTTGCGGAAATTCAAGTGGCCAGTGTAGACAACTGGCAAGTTTTTCCGCAAAAGCAGATGATTTTGCAGAAAAACTTGCCAGTCTAGACACAGCCCGTGTGTGCAGAATTCATGTCCTCCACAGATTCCTTTGCTTCCCTGTAGAAAAATGACTTTCTGAAGGGGGAAGCAAAGGAAAGCCAGAGTGTTCACACGCCCCTCCCCAGCAACACGGGCATGTTGGTTTGGGTGCCTGGAGCAGCTAGCAGAGAGGTTAATCCGTGCAGGGGGAAGGGCAGGCTGGGGATGCCTTGTCTAGCAGCACCTACTCTACTCAGGGCTCTGCTGCTAGTCCGGGCTTAGGTGGAAAGGATGTGCCCTTCCTCTACAAAGAGCACCTGGGGCCACGGCAGACCCACCCCCAGAAACCGTACCCAGCTTTAGGAAGGTCCATCCACACCTGCTGT